AAAGAGATTGGAAGATTACTAGTTCTCTATAATGCTTGCCCCTACCTCAAAGTCATCTCCTTTTGTTGTTTCATAATCTATCAAAATTTTTCTTTCCACATCAACCCTGGAACTATAATGATTCCTAATGCGACATGGCTAATGGAAGAAAGAATCTTAATCTTTATAACATCTCATGGTATAAAGCATATGAAAGGTAAAAGAAGCCAGGGAGGAATAAGACATTGGATTTTGTGGATTTCTTTATTCTGTACTTCTGACAAGGGAAAAAATCCATATTAAATCAAATAATCTAGCAATGATATTATTCTTATCTTCTTGGTTGAAAAGAGATGAGACAGGAAGACACCTGCCAGTTTAGCAGAGACCTACAGGATTCAGCTGATATTGGAAATGTTAATGGCAGTCATGATTTCACCTCTCTAAAATTTTGAAAAGAATCCAAATAGTTTCAAGATATATGGTGAAGGGACAAAGAACACAGATAATATTAAGAGAGAAAACAGGCTAGTCAGAAAGAGATTGGAAGATTACTAGTTCTCTATAATGCTTGCCCCTACCTCAAAGTCATCTCCTTTTGTTGTTTCATAATCTATCAAAATTTTTCTTTCCACATCAACCCTGGAACTATAATGATTCCTAATGCGACATGGCTAATGGAAGAAAGAATCTTAATCTTTATAACATCTCATGGTATAAAGCATATGAAAGGTAAAAGAAGCCAGGGAGGAATAAGACATTGGATTTTGTGGATTTCTTTATTCTGTACTTCTGACAAGGGAAAAAAATCCATATTAAATCAAATAATCTAGCAATGATATTATTCTTATCTTCTTGGTTGAAAAGAGATGAGACAGGAAGTCACCTGCCAGTTTAGCAGAGACCTACAGGATTCAGCTGATATTGGAAATGTTAATGGCAGTCATGATTTCACCTCTCTAAAATTTTGAAAGAATCCAAATAGTTTCAAGATATATGGTGAAGGGACAAAGAACAGTCCATCTGCACTATTTATTGATAAGCCTGGAACCAGATAGAACACTCCTCATTAAAATTTAAATAAACAGAAGAAAATATCATTTTAAGAAAAATTTAACATAAAAAACAAGAATTAGAAATGCAGAGGAAATCATAGTTTTAAAAAATGTAATGAAAACTACTAAATGTTGACATATGACTCTTCAGTCTTCTCAACAACAACAGAAACCTCTATAAATCAAAAAATAATTAGAGGGCCGGCCCAGTGGCGCACTGCTATAGTGCGCCACTTGGGAGTGCGGCGGCGCTCCTGCCAAGGGTTCGGATCCCACATACAGACCGGTTCCCACTCACTGGCTGAGTGAGGCACAGGAGCA